CAGTCAGTCAGTCAGTCAGTCAGTCAGTCAGTCAGTCAGTCAGTCAGTCAATCAATCAATCAATCAATCAATCAATCAATCAATCAATCAATCAATCAATCAATCAATCAATCAATCAATTAGCTTATATAGCGCTATTTCCGGGATGTTTAACAGCGCTCCTCAATGAATTTTGAAAACAGATGGGTCTTGAGATCCGTTCTGAACTTCGCAAGTGATGGAGAAGTAGTCAGAGAAGTAAGTAGAGAGTTCCAGAAAAAAGGACCAAAAAAAGCAAAAGCAGATTTGGCAAAAGTGTGTTTAACACGAGTTAAGAAAAAGCGAGAACAAGAAGACGATCGTAAACCGGGGCGTTTAGGTTCAATTAATATATCTGCTAAATACTTAGGAAATAATTTAGATTGAGACTTATACATAAACGTGCAAATTTTAAAAATTATTCTATATTTTAAAGGTAGCCAGTGCAAGAGAACAATATATGGAGATATATGAGAAATGAAAGGGACACGAGCAACTAGACGAACAGCAGAGTTAAAAGTTTTACTTAACGGATAGAGTATAGAATCAGGAAGACCATAGTAGATCGAGTTACAATAATCAATCCTAGATAAGACTAACGAAGTAACAAGAAGGAGAAGAGTAGGATCATCAAGAAAAGTCAAAAGTTTTTTTATTCTACGTAAATGAAAGTAAAAGCTTCTAGCAACACTATTAATCTGAGAAGAGAGAGACAAAGTAGAATCAAAGATAAAACCTAGACTACGAAACTTATGAGAGACATCAAGAGTTTTAGAATCAAGTAAGATAACAGGAGGAATAGTAATAGAGTGTTTAGATTTATTAAAACAAATTAATTCAAACTTAGAAGGATTACGTTTAAGACACATAGAGTCAGACCAAGCGATAATTGAAGAAAGACATAGAGATAGATTATTAAGAACACTATTGAGATAAGATGGAGGAAAAGAAGTATAAATGTAAGAACCATCAGCATATAGTTGACAAGAGAAAAAAAAAATTATTAATAATATGGTTAGTTCGGAAGTATAGAGTATAAATAGAAGAGGGCCAAGGATAGAACCCTTAAGTACCCCGAAATTAAGAGTAGAGGAGTTAGAAATAGAATTATTGAGAACAACAAAAGAAAAACAATTACAGAGATAAGAAGAAAACCAAGATAGACAAGAATCAGTAATATTAAAAGAAAGATGTAGCAGTTTCAAGAGAATAGTATGATCAACAGTTTCAAAAGCCGAGGAAAAGTCAAGAGCAAAAAGAAGAGTAAGATTACTGTTGTCACTAGAGAGAAGGGTTAGGGTTAAGTTAAGTTGCGTATTTTGAGTAAAGAAGTTTCAGCACTGTGAGCAGGTCTGAAACCAGATTAAGATACAGGTATCAAAGAGTTAAAGTTTAAATATTCAATTTTATGTTCCAGTAACAAGTGGCAAACGCATCTGCGTTCAATATCAAAAGTTGCAAAACACTTATGCGTTCATTTTATTTTAAGAATCAGTTTATTTTTCCGCAAAATTAAAAATTCTGGTTTTACAAATAATCACAAATGATGTTATGGTCCTTTTTAGCTTAGTAGATATTATTTGAAATCAAGATAAACAACTGCAACACAATTTAATGAAATATTTGTCTTCTTTCGTATAACTATTATATTTCATAAAATTTGTCGGTAAACGATGTAGAATTGAGTGCTATAGTGAGTTGGTTAAAATTTCCAGTTTCTTACCAACAAAGTTAATCTCGATCTTGTTCAACACCACCTTCTTCTACAGGTTTGTTGAGATATGTTGTTATTTTACAAAAGTTATCGAATAAAACTTATTCATAAAAATATACAAGCACACGCACATTTATTCAATTTGTAGTTAAAAAATTGTACTAATATTATATATTTTATATTCATCATGTACCTTAAAAGTTATCACTCATCTCAAATTTTTACTAGATATATGACATTAATAACATAATTATCATAAATATTATTATTAATATTGTTGTTTTACAAATTTTTGGCTGAGTGATATAAAATTAAATAGAGATTTCAAAAACTCAAACAGTTATCTTAATCAAATTTTCATCTCAATTAGAATATTTATTTATTATTACCAAGTGGCTCCCAACAAAATCATCACTTTTCAACACTTCAGCATACGCCCAACCAGGGCCGGAACTAGCGTATTTGCCAAGGGGGGCAAAACTCAGTGTGCCGCCTCCTACCGCGTTATTATTATGCTACTACCGTAAGCTTTTGTTAAAATGCAGTTTTTTAAAGTACATACAACTTGTTTCTTATTAAGATGTTTTATTTTAATATCAATATACATGTTAACACATCGAGAAAAAAAAAAAAAACAACAATTGTGAAAAAGTGAAAAACTTTGTTTATATTGCAGCGTCCACGTATCAAGTAATTGATTTGTATATTACATTGAAAACAAATTTTTCTAGCTTTTTTAACTGCAAATGTATTGATTACATCATCAAAATTAACAGGGGATGCTCGTTTGTGTTCGATTGAAATTATGCTTAGATTGGAAAGTCTCTCCTGCCACATTGTAATTCTCATGTAGTTTTTGATGATTTTGCTGAAACTTCGTTCTCCAGATGACACTGTGACAGGCAATGTGAGAAACATTCTCAATACAGTAGTGTGGTGATGTTAGGGTAGCCTTCTTCTAATTTATTTATATAAATGAAAGTTAACATTTCTTTTGATGTGGCTTTTTTCAAACTTTTGTCAACTGTCAAAGCGTGATGCTTAAAACTTTCTTTTTCAAAGTTGAATTTTTCAATGTTGAGATCAGCTGAGTATATATTTGTCAATTATTCTGCTTTAAATTTTAGATCTGTTATCTGCATTTTTTCAATTTTAACACCACTCAAAAATCCAAACATGCTGTTTACATTATTCAAAACTTCAAATCTGTCACTAAGTTCTGTAATCATCCAGTCAATGATTTCTAACATTGCCACATAGTACACATTTTCAACACTTGCATGAGCTTCACTGTTACACAACTCATCGGCCAATTTTTTTTTCTTTCTTGGTTCCTTTTCTGAAGATGTTACATTATTCATTTTTGCTAACAATCTACTGTTAATTTGGTTTAGCCAAATTTTCAAATCTCATTTTTGTTATGAAACACCTTTCTGAATCAGAAAAAATTTTGTGGCCATGAACCAAGATCACTGAAATTAAAAAGGAACTTGGATGTCTTCTGAATACTAGTTGTGGGATCTGATCGAGATAGCAATTCTTCTACAGTTGCATTTGTAGGATTGAGGTTGAACTAAAAAACATTATCCTTGTTCTCTTCTTTAGCTGCCATGTTATCTAAAATATTAAAAATCAGCATTATAAACAAAATAAACATAATATGTTATTTTTTAATTTTTTTTAAATATAACTTATTTAAAGTTAGGTTTGGTTGAGATAATATTTCTTCAACAGCTTCATTTTCTTCACTGGAAGGACTGAGGTTCAAACAAAAAACATGTTCTGTGCTCTCATTTTTTTTAGCTTTCATTTCACCTAAAATATTAAAATTATGGATTAAACAGCTGGTTGAGTTTAGCTTTATAAAGTTTAGCTTTATATTCATCAGATTGTTTTTTGTCCTCATCTGGTTTTTCTTTTTCTGAATTTTCAGTGGAATTTTTCGCAGCTTTAGAGATAAATTTAGCAGGCTCTTTAATTTCCTTTTGTTTTTTGGCAATGTCCAATGTCCTGCTTTTCTTTGGTTCAGCTGCAGTTGTTTCTTTCCCTCCCCTTGAAGAATCCCTGCTGTGAAAATCCTTTGGTGCTGTTGATAGTTTGCTTGGTAATTTTTTAGCTGCTGGCGTTTGATGTGGTTCTTTAGCATTTGCCAAAACATCAAGTGAGGAAGTTTTTTTTTCAATGTGTTACTGATTTTTTTAGCAACAGGCTATACGGAAGACTTTGAAGAATGGCCCATAGAATGTGGTATTGAGCCTTCTGAAGCAGATATATGATTTGAAAATGAGTTAGGAATGTTTGAAACAAATTTAGACCTTCTTGAACTTGGTTATGATAACTCTATCATTTTTTCTGCCTGGTTTCGTTTGGTTTCAGCACTACGAGATCTCTGTTCTTTAATAAAAGTACTGAGAGCTGTTGGTGAAGAAGATCTGTTTCTTTGACAGACTGGGAGATGTTGTTCATTGAACATATCTGTAGTGCTATGACATAATGAGATTCTCAATTGGAATGCAACTGTTGGTTGAGTTGGTTGCAACTGTTCATTTCACCTAAAATATTAAAATTATGGATAAAATATAAATTTTAAAATATCCAAAGTTTGAAAAATTCTTAAATTTAACTTTTATTATATATTATTAATTCATCGCTTATGCATTGAATTTAAAATTTATTATCAAATTCCAAATTAATGAAATTTGAAAAAAAATTATTTTAGTCAGATGGAAGCATAATTAATTCACATTGTTCATAATGTTCCAATTTTCAATTAATATTAAATTAATTGAATAATAAAAAATTGTTTACCTGATTTTTCTTCTGAGCCGTTTTTATCACAAATATTAGATTTGCTAAATAACGTTTCTAATTTTGGCGTTAGTGACAGCGTATCTCTTTCTTTTTTTGTTTTTCTTTAGTAATTTATCTCTGTATTCGGTTCCACTAAGTTTTTTTCTGCCATCCATTTTATTTTCAAACACGAAAACGAATAAAAATAAACTAACAAAATATTTTCGCGGCGTGAATTTAATTCAAAATGGCGTGTCTGCAAAACTCAAATAAGCAAAAGATTACAAATAAAATAAAGAATCCGTTTTTAATATTTGCGTTTGTATTATAATGTTTATATATATAAAAAAACCATTAAAAATAGAATATAAAAAAGTAATACAAAAAAATCAAATTTACTTTGATCTAAATTTTGACAAATGAAAATAACTTTTTTAATTTTTTAAAACTTCTCAAACTTTGCCGTCCCTGAAATTTGCCACCCAGGACGCTTGCCTCCTTTGCCCCCCCCACCCTAGTTCCGGGCCTGCGCCCAACTCTCACATTCAACACCAATTCTCATCCTTTCAATTCAATAGAATCCAAACCAGATCCAGCTTGTTTGGTCCGTGGTACTGGGCCTGGCACGTAATAGACATTCTCAAAAGACTCTCCACACAGAGCTGGTTTGTTCATCACGTAATTTTGACTTGGCGTGATTTCCATTTTTTTGCAATTAAGTGATTTTTATAGACTTATTTTTTGTAAAATGGTCATTAGTATGATAATAAGTCAGATAGACATTAGATTAGAGTGTTGAGGAATGTTCGATTTAATATTATTTCGCTTTTTTTGTTGGATTATAAAACGGACAATTTGAAACGAACAGATATAATTTTATTTTATTAACCAAACAAACGTAATAATCTCGTACTAACGTAAAAAGTGAAGAGGAAAATTAAAGCAAAGTAGTAGTAATAATATAAATTAAATTTAAACATATATATTAAAATTAATAAAAAATTAAAAATTTAAAATGTTTATAATAACTATATATATATATATATATATATATATATACATACATATATATATATATATATATTTATATTGTCGGGAATTTGAACTGAAAGTGAGGTAACCTCTTCCTCTATCTTTCTCAGGAAATTTTTTTATGGTCCGACAAAAATTTTTTGTATATTTTTATCGTGAGTTCGACCAGTCCTGTGTGGCACTGGGCTTTTTCGAATTATATGATTTTACTGAGTAACACACGAACGCGTAAAATATTCGATAATAATTTTATTAATCGACGGAAGTAAATGAAAAAGAATTGAACTAACTGAACTCTAGAATAATGTTAAAAATAATGTCAATAAACAAACTGGAATACAGGAATTAGAACTTCTTCTTGTTGGGTCGGGCAACTTGGGATATGTTTCTTGCCGTTTAATCGTACAACCTCGACGTGTGTGACCGATGGTGGTTTCGATACAACTCCAAGAAATAAATAAAATGAATGCAGAAAAATTACAAAAATTGGAGCCTATGGAAATTCCAAGCTGCGTGCGAAACTATACCAATGAGTATAGAATCCAGCAAAGAACCCTAGGTCCACAAATAGCACAACAAAAACAAAACAACGAGGCGGATTCGTTTTCACAGAATCCAAGGCCTGTTTTCACTGGGCCTGTCAGTCAGTCGGTCGGCTTTCGCACAATCCTGGCCTGTTTTCACTGGGTCGTCGAGTTTGGTTGGCTTTCGCACAACCAGCACAAAACAACAAGGGTCAGAACAATACTGGAAACAAATTGTGGGACTTTAGTACGCGTGCGAAACTATGCCAATGAACATAGTGTCTCGCACCAAATCCACTTTTGAGAACTTAAGACGTTTCTGAAACTATGCCAATGAGCATAGAATCACGAATTAAGTCTCTTAGATACCAGAATAGGCACCGATTACTCAAGGCTGCCTAACTAGTCAACCCAATGCGAACTCTCTCTCTTAAAGATAAAAAAACTCTATATCAAAGCAAAATTAGATTTTGTTTCGATTGTTTTTAAACATAAAAATTTCCAAGGTATGTCAACTTAATCAAAAAACTACTATTTAAATTTTAAAATAATTTGTAATAATTTATGACGTCATCTAAATTGCAAAACAATAAAAATTGTCTAGCCACTTATTGAGTAAATTAACTTGCATCAGGCCACCTATCGAGTGAATTATTTTGCATCAAGCCACCTATCGAGTGAATTAATTTTGCGTTGAAGGACTTTGAAGTATTTTTAGTGAGTATTATTTCATAATTTTACTATATATATATATATATATATATATATATTGTCGGAAATTTTAATGAAAACAACTGGTGGTGTGAGGTAATCTCTTCCTCTATCTTTCTCAGTAAATTTTTTTTTTATGGTCCGACAATAATTTTTTTGTATATTTTTATCGTGAGTTCGACCAGTCCTGTGTGGCACTGGGCTTTTTCGAACTATATGATTTTACTGAGTAACACACGAACGCGTAAAAGAATATTCGATAACAATTTTATTAATTGACGGAAGTAAATGAAAAGAAATTGAACTAAATGAACTCTATAATAATGTAAAATGTCAATGAACAAACTGGAATACAGGAATTAGAACTTCTTCTTGTTGGGTCTTCGACTTGGAATATGTTTCTTGCCGTTTAATCGTACAACCTCGACGTGTGTGACCGATGGTGATGTCGATACAACTCCAAGAAATAAATAAAATGAATGCGGAAAAATTACAAAAATCGGAGCCTATGGAATTTCCAAGCTGCATGTGAAACTACCAATGAGTATGGAATCCAGCAAAGAAACCTAGGTCCCAATTCGAACGAAATGAGCGGAAATTAATCAGTGGTCTTGAAAGGCGTTTTTACATTTAAATGAAAAAATAAAAAATTATTATAAAATAAGGCAACCATCATAAACTCTGGAATGTTACAACTTTCCATGCATGTTTTGATGAGAACAAAACTCAAACTTCTGTTGAATGCTGTTTATAATTTGTTTATACGAGGTAGGGTAAATATACTTAAAAGTTAAAATTATTTGCTATTAGTTAAAAGTTAAAAGTTTTTCCAATTCTTTATATAGAACAAAATTAAATAAAAAAATTTCAAGTTTGCGAACTTTCAAGTTTGCGAACACAGAAACTTGAAAATTTTTAGTTACTATGATAAAA